AGCCGCCGTCTCGTCTACTTCTAATAAGTCTGCGGTGAGGATGCATTGGAGAACAAAACAAAATTTGGGTATGTGCTTCTATATCCAGCCAAGGAGTTCTGGCTCTTACATCTGTAACCGATTTTGTCTTTGATTCAGACTATTTCTACATAATGGCCTATGCCAAATCCAGATGCGAGCACTATTTGCAACTGGAAGATAACATCGAGGCTGTTGCCGCTTACGAGTGAGCTTTTTAGGCTATTTTTTATAGGTATTGAGCGACGACAAATAGTGCTAAACATTAGTGTATCCACTCTACTTGAAGAAATGTATGAAATTCTCCAATGGGACAAATTTCAGCCGAGTAATCTTTGGATACATCACTATGAAGCAAGGAAAGGACTGGTTTGTTATGGACTTCGCCGACATGGGAATCACAGGAACGCTCTTCAGGTACACAAAGTCTAATTAGGTTTAAGTACTCACGTATTTAGTGCATTGCAGTGCTGATAGTCTCAACTACATGACCACCGCCTTGGCTATGTACTATCGCTTCAAGCCGGTGGAGTGGATACTAAAAGATATTCTCAGAAATCAATACTGCAATCCCGAAATGGGTGACAAAGCTTGCGCGCAGGTGCAGTTCAAACAAAAAATTGAGAATTGGAATCAATCAGGGTTGATGCATATTCTAGACCATCTCGTCGCACTGCATTTCATCTGGATCGTCACAATTCCAGCATCGCGACGTGATCTCTTCTTTGAAGAGTAAGAAAGCAAAAGTGCTCGGTTCCAATGCAGTTAAAGGAATATTCTTGGTAACTTTCGCTTTGGGTCAATAAGCGGGACAAAGCCCATGGATTTATTTTTTAGGAAAAACGCTCGAACCCTCCAGCAAATGTGACAACAGAGATGAAAGCATACCTGTACTATGATGCGCAACGTGGCTACGACTACAAGCAGCCTATGTGGTTTCTTAACCCACGAAAGGACGACACTGTAGACATAACTTTCGCAAGACCATTGAACATAACAGGTAAACAGCAATGCAACTGCCTGCAGGAACTGCACTACCTTCGTTTCAGGAATAATGTTCTTAAGCGGTGTTCCCCCAGGTCTTACAGATAAACTTGG